CATCCATCCTCCATCCATCATCCATCATCCACCCACCATCCACCCATTCTGCCTCCTGGGGTCTTGCAGTCCTGGAGCCCTGGATTTCTGGGCTCCTTGTATTCTGGGGACCTGATGTTCTGGCGACCTGGTATTTTGGGGTTCTGGGGGCCTGGTGTTTTGGGGGCCTGGGGGGGTGCTGGTGTCTAAAGACCTGGGCTGGGGCTGCAGCCCGTCCATGAGAGCGGCACATCCTTCGCCCCGTAACGCCACGGGATCGACAGTCACTGCATGTCTAAAACCACGCTACAAGCGCGACCTCCTACACACCCCAGGGAAGCCGTCCTCACCCTGAACTCACCCCAGCTCGCTGCCTGTGTTATGTCGGGGTGAATCGTTCATTCAAACGTGTCTTTAAATGTCTATTCAAAAGTTATGCAAATGCGCTCACCCCAGACGGAAAAAGAGGAACCGGCCATTGTCTCCGCTCCACTGACCGCAGGCGGGTTACTACGCCCGGCCACGACAGCTCCCCTCACAGACAGCCGCCCCCCGAGGCCGGGGACTGTCGCCGGGCTCCAGCCGGAGTCGGGGACCGGGCCGCTTCTCCAAGGGAGACCCCGAGGCGGGCGAGGACCGAGGGGCTGCCTGACACTGACCGCCGTAAGTCACGGACCCCCACGAGATGGGGGGGGCGGGGCGAGCATGTCTCTGTGTTGCAAACACAGAGGGTTCTGGGGGTGTCGTCGGCTGGGGTGCTCAGCTCACATTCCGGGTGCTTGGTGCTAACCCAGGGCCCCCCACCCCCAAGGCCCACGGCTCGTGTGGGGGAATCAGAGAGTGGGCGGAGAATGTGCAGAGGCGGACGGGGGCGGCATGGCCTCGGCCATCTGGGGGCGACAGGGTCACCCCGAGTCCCCGAGCAGGCTGAGGAGTGACCACCTGGCTGGGCAGGGGTGTTAGTCCAATCCCGTCCCTCCTTTCGCTGTGTTTTGTCAAGAATGAGCTATTTTTATGGAGGTGACAATGTGCCGGCGTGGCTGTGATTTGGGGCTCAGGCCCCCGGCGCCGCAGACACTCGCTGGCCCCCCATGATCCTCCACCACCGCCCCTTGGGGCCCCGTGCGCCTCTCCGGCAGTTTCATGCTGAGCTCAGACCTGCAGGGTTTATTTTGGCTCCTTCCTTGGCTCCGTTGCTCGGCATCCCACGTGTGAGTGGAAACACCCAGAAGGTGTCATTCTGCTCCCCGCGATCTCACGCAGCAGCGGTCTTTTTCACGGCTGCGTAGTATTCCGCCGCCTGTACACAGACCGGGTCTCCCTGGTCTCCCCTGAACGTCCCTGGGGACATCAGTTGTCTGCAATGTGTGGCTGCTGTCAGTCACGCCGTAGGGAACCCAAATGGGCCGCACCCTTTTCATGGCTGCATAATATTCCATCGTCTATGCAGAACATGTCTCCCAGGTCTCCCCTGAACGTCCCTGGGGACATCAGTTATCTGCAGTGTGTGGCTGCTGTCAGTCACGCCGTAGGGAACCCACATGGGCCGCACCCTTTTCACAGCTGCATAGTATTCCCCTGTCTATACACCCCCTGTCTCCCAGGTCTCCCCTGAACGTCCCTGGGGACATCAGTTATCTGCAGTGTGTGGCTGCTGTCAGTCACGCCGTAGGGAACCCACATGGGCCACACCCTTTTCACAGCTGCGTAGTATTCCACTGTCTATACACCCCCTGTCTCCCAGGTCTCCCCTGAACGTCCCTGGGGACATCGGTCACCTGCAGAGCGCGGCTGCTGTCAGTCACGCCACAGGGAACCCACATGGGCCGCACCCATTTCACGGCTGCGTAGTATTCCACTGTCTGTACAGACCATGTCTTCCTGGTCTCCCCTGAATGTCTCTGGGGGCATCTGCAGAGCGCGGCTGCTGTCAGTCACACTGCAGGGAACTGAAATAGGCTGCACCATTTTCACGGCCGCATAGTAGTCCACTGTCTATGCAGACCCCGTCGTCCTGGTCTACCCTGAACTTCCCTGGGGACATCGGTTATGTGCAGAGCGCGGCTGCTGTCAGTCACGCCGCAGGGAACCCAATGGTCAGCACCCTTTTTCATGGCTGTGTGCTATTCCCCTGTCTATGCAGACCAGGTCTCCCAGGTCTCCCCTGAACGTCCCTGGGGACACCAGTTATCTGCAGAGCGTGGCTGCTGTCAGTTACACGGCAGGCAACCCAAATGGGCCACACCCTTTTCACGGCTACGTAGTATTCCACTGTCTGTACACCCCAGGTCTCCCCTGAACGTCCCTGGGGACACCAGTTATCTGCAGAGCGCGGCTG